GACCACAAGCGTGAGCTCAGAATATTTCCATGATCACAGAATCACAGAATGGTTGAGGTTGGAAGGGACCTCTAGAGATCATCTAGTCCACCCCCCTGCTCCAGCAGGGACATCTAGAGCATGATAATCATTATTTGAGTCTCCCATAGCTTCAGTGTGCAGGAACCACAAATGTATATCCCCTCCCAAGGTCCTGAGACTAGCCTAGAAAGCTGCATATGCTGTGAACACATTTAATGCATATAGGCAGCATAGACTTCAGGGAAAGTCACTCACAAGTTCAGCAGTCAATACAACTTTCTTTCAAAAACATAGGAAATCTACTTATTTAGAATATATTTTGAGCAGGGGGATGCAAATGTGAGAAGAAAAATCTCTTATATCTCTCTCACTGCCAGGTTAGGTCTTTAGGTTTAGCCTACAGAACTGCCTCAATACACAGGAGTACACCTTCTTTCTGTCATGTCAACAGGCAACTGGAAGACAAGATTTGTAGGGCTATAAAGAGATCATCCACAAGACCATTCAACGAGATTAAGACTATGACTAGGGAAGGAAACACTTAATATGAAATGTAGGGAGTCCAGGAACAGAGAAGTAGTCTGAATATCAGCGCTGGGTTTTAATGAACTACTCTCTACATGCAGCCTTCATCTCACCTATTTTCTATATTACCTGGAGCAGCCTGGAAGAGGAAGAAAAGAACAGCAACGAGGAGGAAAAGGATCCTCATAACTGTCAGCTGGTCAGGTGATAAGCTTTGCCGGTGAGAAGGTATTTGATGGAAGACGGAAGCCGGTGTTTCTAGGCAGAATGTTGTTAGTCTCCATACTTATAAAGGGCTCTGGAGTTGAGCAACGTAGACAAGGGGGAGGGAAAAATGAGTTGTCCAGAGAACAGTAAGTTCTTGCCCTTGTATTGTCCTAGTGCTGTAGAGATTGGTGATGTATGAACATGTTGCAACCTAATACGTTATAAGATGCCTGACCCGAGCAATGACCAAATCACATTAGCAAATCACTTGGTACTCTCAGGCCGTCTGCCAGCTGGTGGGCTGCACCTGGAGAGGGCATGGGATTGGAGGATGTGGGAGGTGGGATCCCGTGATCTGCAGTACTGTAAACCATGCAAATCTGCTGATGGGCCATGGCTCTTGGCCATGTTTAGTGATAGCCTGTCCTCCCCTCAGCCGCAACTGAGCACTGCAAGGCTAAGAAAAGCCAGGGATCTGGCCTGCAAAGCCACATGAAACAGAAAAGCCACAGAGTCTCCTCTTTGGATGAAGAAATGGATTCGAGCTTTGCTCCACATATTGAGTGGATTCCTAGGGCTGAAGATGCGCTTCTTATGTGCACCTGAAGGATGGAGATCTAAGGGTTGTGGACATGCCCATTCCTATGCCCATGCCTATGAAATCCAGATGTTCTTCTGTGATAGTTCAGTGCTCCATTACTCCCTGCCTGAGACATTTTTGATCTCCAGATATTCTTCTAAGATAGTTCAGTGCTCCATTGCTCCCTGTCTGAGATATTTAGGATCTGTCCTGGCCATGAATTGTAATATCTTTTGAAAATGAAGTCACTAAACAGAAAGGACCATCTGGTACTATGCATTGTGCCATGTTGTCACAGAAGACCACATCCTAATCTGGAGTACTGTGTGCAGTTCTGGGCACCCCAGTACAAGAGGGACGTGGAGCTTCTCGAGAGGGTCCAGAGAAGGGCAACCAGGATGATTAAGGGAATGGAACATCTCTCATATGAAGAGAGGCTGAGTGAGCTGGGCCTTTTTTCTCTGGAGAAGAGAAGGCTCAGAGGGGATATGATTAATGTGTATAAGTTCAGGAAGGGAGAATGCAGGGAGGAAGGGGACAAGCTGTTTTCACTGGTGGCCAGCGATAGGACGAGGGGTAATGGCCACAAGATGGAGCACAGGAAGTTCCGTCTCCAGGTGAGGAGCAACTTCTTTACTGTTAGGGTGACAGAGCAGTGGAACAGGCTGCCCAGGGAGGTTGTGGAGTCTCCTTCTCTGGAGGTCTTCAAAACCCGCCTGGATGCCGCCCTGTGCCACATGCTCTAGGT